TACGTCAGAGAGTGCCACGTGGGCATCGTCCAGCGTCATATATTTTTTTTCCACTTAAAATTCCTGTGGGAAAATCGGCGACGATGACAGTTCCTATAATGTGCTTGATGTCTGATGATTTGCGATTTACGACCCAAAAGCCGTTCCTGAGCGCGTAATTATAGCTCCCCGTTTCTCTCTCTCCCTTTCTCTATTTATCTGTCTATCTCTCCTCTCTCTCTTTCACTCTATCTCTCTCTCATCTCTCCCTCCCTCTATCTATCTACCTCTCCTCTCTTTCTCTATCTATCTCTCCTCCCCTCCCCCCCTCTCTCTATTTATGTCTGTCTCTTTCTCTCTCACTCTATCTCTCCTCTCTCCCTTTCGTTCTCTCTCCATATATCCATCTATATGGATATATGGATATATATACATATATACATATACATATACACATATATATATATGCATATATATACATATCTAACTATCTATATATAGGTATGCGTATATATACATTTATATACACATATATATATACATACACACAAATATATATGTGTGTTTATGTGAATTTATATATGTATATCTATATGTATATAGATACATACATACATATATAAGCATGTATATCTATCTATATAGATGTTTACACACATATATAGATACCGTTTCTAGGTCTGATTTACCCCAATTAAACAAATCCTTGCAAATCCGCGCATGTGAGTGTGTGTGGATTTATGCAGACAAACATTGCCCACACAGATTTGTTAAAGTTGTGTAAATCAAACCTAGACACGATAGTGAGTGAGTCTATCGTAGATATGATGGTGGTATGAGAACCACCAACAATGATTATCTAACCAATTGTTCCCCAGGGGAAGGATCATGCGTCAGCCACCCCAGTATATACCTAGTTAAGTACATGATGTCAACAGGGCTTCGGTGATGGCACCAATAAATATATATATATATATATATATATATATATATATATATATATATATATATACATACTTATATATGCATATATATTAGTATGTCAGATGAATCCATTTAACTATCAAATGGATTTGATGAATATCAAAAGAATTCTTTGATTTGGTAGGAAATTTATCAAGGCTGTTATGTATAGATGAACTCCATTTATGGCCTTTAGTCTGGCTCGTCCTGCTTACATGATTTGAATATATTTGAAGCAGTGTTGAAAACTGTTGCATATGGTATTATCCAAAAAATATATTTAAGAAATACCAATATGTTGATTTTTTTTATCTATATACTTCCTGTTTTGTACTTCGGGCATCAATGTATCAGTTCAATGTTTATGTTTGAATACGGTAATTGTGTATCCTTTCATCATACTGTTTGAACTTATTACCGTTCTTAAATGAATATGTTCTATAACAATCCTCCCTGACCAGGCCTCAAACCTAGGTCACTGCGGGTATGAGACCGGAGGGCCAGTACTAAACCTACCATGCCACACGACCCACTAAAGCGAGTGCAACCAGGATCTTACTAGCTCCATAGACATTACCAATCTACTCATACATGAGCAGTGATAGCGAGGTTTTACACGCTCTCCCCGTGGGCATTATATGAATGCGGCATTGCATTATTCCATCTTTCATGAATATGTTCATATATATACTCATAATTACATACATACACAAATACGTATATAGAGATACTGCCAGAAAATAATTCACAAAATACAAAGCAAAAAACTGCATAAAAAACACAAATCTATTATAAATATATAACATACATATATATATATTCATTATATATATATACATATCTTCTTTCTCTCTCCCTTTCTCTATCTGTCTATCACTATCTATCTATTTTTCCCTCTTTCACTATATATCCATATATATATATATATATATATATATATATATATATATATATATATATATATCCCTCCTCTCTCATTCGCTCTCTATCTGCCTCTCAGTCTATAAATCTATTTTTCTCTCTTTCTCTATCTATCTATATATATTTATCCATCCACTGTCTCTCTCTCTATCCATCTATCTATCTCTCTTCCTCCTCTCTCTCTCGATCTGTCTATCAAACTCTCCTCTCTGTATCTCCTCTACCCTATTCTTCAGTCACTCTCTCTCTATTTACACAGGCAAGTCAGGTCGGGCCCTGTGTGTTCAGGGAATGACTCAACCCACAAACGGGACAATGCCACAGACCACTCCATGGAAACGGCGGCCCCCACGAAAGAACAAGGAAAAAGGCCAAAAGGCCTCTGTGGAGACGCCCCCAAGTCATCTGTGCGCGCACTTCAGGCCGGACTCAAAACTTGGAACTAATGGGGATAGATATCGCTGGGTATCCCAGGCCCTAAAAATGGACCCTTTCAATAAGATGAAGAGATCAATAGAACTAAAAATTGGGAGAAACAATGTGTATGTGAAATGCAAGAACCAACAACTTCTTGACTATCTAACAACACCCGTTACAGGTGGGGAAGTGCTGCAAAAAGCCATGGTGTTTGGAAAAGGGAAATGCACCAATGTCATTGTCCTGAAGCAAATTGAAACAAGAAATGACGTACAATGAACGCGTCATACACGCCAGGCGAGTGAAAGCAAAAGGAATGATGAGCCAGAATCGGCACAACGAACGAGGGGAGGTAATCCCCAAAAGTATTAAAATGGTTGAGGGCACCCTTTACGTATGCCGTTTTCAAATCACCAATCCCGTGCACTCAAATTGTTCGAAGCGGGGACACGGAGCACGTGCTTGTCCGCGAGACGCACCGAGATGCCGATACTGCGCACAGAATGCGCAGAAAGATTTCTGAGGGAAAAACTATCCCTTGGAAATGCGTAAACTGAAGGTAAGCAGCCAAAAAAGCACCTACCCAGTTCATCTCTGATGTCCCCTGTAAAGAAAGCCATAGCACCGGCCACGGCACCAACGCCGGCAGGAGTTAATGCCCCATCAATTTCAGCACCAATCTTAATACAGTAGCTACAGCACCAATAACAGCACCAGCTCCAGCTCCAGCACCGACTCCAGCTCCAGCCCATCCCTCACTGCAGCAGGACAAGCAAGAGTCCAACAGTGAAGTGAATGATCTGCTACAAATGCTGCTCAAGCAGATGGAGCAGATGATGTTCATGATGCACTAACAGATGGTTCAGCAATCCCAATTCAAGGAAAGGGTGTTTGCTTTTCTCCTCGGGCAACGGCAGCCTTAACCTGCACTGGGCCTTGGAAATGGCCAAGTGATAAATGATGGTTCAAAATAATCTTTTCAAGTGTATTACCTGGAACATCAGCACTATCTTTACTCTGAACATGTGCCAAATATCTTGGTGTTAAAATATTTCATGATGGTAAAACTTTCAACATCATTAATGTATAAAACCCTCATAATAGGAAAGTGGTACCAAAGCCTCTTGACAGTATGATACATAGTGATACTGTTTTATTGTGTGAAAATTTTAATACTTGTCATCCTCTCCTGAACTCTGAGGGAAGCACCATGGGCAAAAACAGCAAGGTTTATCATGACTATCTCCAGTGACAATATACATCTATTATGCTCCTTAAAAAGACTCATTGCCTAGGTGGTAAATTAGATTATATAGCTCTATACAATCACCACACACTCTCAAGCAATGCGAAAGTCATCCTATTCTTAGTCAGCGACCGTTGGGCATTAAGTATAACATCCCATTTTGCAAGATATCATCTTGCTACTAAACATTATGATGAGTTTATAAAGAGATTGGCTGCTGGTGTGAAAACATTACTCCTACCAGCCTTGATCATTTTGACAAGTTGGTAACATCATTAACTAATTCTACCCTAGTAACCCTGTCAAACATATGTCTCCATCTTACAGAGGCAAACGAGCACATCACCTGAACAAAGATCCTGAAGTAAAACTACTTTGAAAACACAGGTCTACAGTACATCAGCTAAAGCACTTAGGAAGAAACTCCTACATAGCTAGGGACCTTGTATTCTTTAGTAAAAGGCTTAATGAAGTAATTCAAAAGAGGTAAGAGAGATTATATGCCTGGGTAAAATCGACTGACTCCACGACTCCCATGAGTAATGAGTGGAGGGAAATCAACTAGATTAATGGCAATGCATAGTGTGACTCTCCACCCTCATCCACAATAGGTATCTTTGTCACTCCTCAGTAAATGTTGCGAAAATTGCTCTCTTGAAAATCTTCCATTATCCATATGTAGGCGCTCCATAAAGTTAAAACACAAAAATGAAATTGACTATCAGTGTCAAGTTTTTGATGAGGCCGATGCACCATTGACAAGTCATGAACTTCTTGCAGCCATTAAGACTAGCAAATCCACTGCACCTTGGGATGAAGGAATCACTTGTGACATCATCCGACTCCTTGCAAAGGTACAGGTAAAGGGAAGAAATCCACTTCTTGATCTCTTCAACTTAACATATACTTTAGGCATCTTGCCCACTGCCTGGAAACAAGCTACCATTATTCCCATGCCAAAACCAAATGTGTTTAGCCCAGTACCTAAATGGAAGTAATGCACAGTCTTCTTACTTCATAAATTTCAAGGGAACATTCGACAGAGCCTCTCTTACTGTAATCCTCCATGAATTAACTTCTAGGAGTTAAGGGTAAGCTTCCGCTATGGATAAAAAGATTATCTATCTTTGAGAAGAGCAAAGGTATGGTACCAAGGCATCTACAGTGTTTATGGTGAACTAGAGTTAAGCATTCCACAAGGTGGAATTGTGTCCCCCTTCATTATTTAACATATTCTTTGTAAGCTTAACAGTGAGTTAGGAGACCTATGCAGTATAACATCCTATGCTGATGACACTCATTCAGGTCTTTGATAGGGGGGATATGTTCTCCAGAGGTTCAGCAAAAAGTGTGCTTCCCAATCAAGACTATGTACATTTCCAAAAATCATAAACTGCCATACATTCCAAGGTTAGGTGGACAGGTTATTGCAAAAACTGACACCTGTAAGTATCTTCGTGCCATAGTGATTGCT